CCCCCCCAGAGCAGATCAGGCAGTTCCTGAAGGAGCAGCAGCTCCCCCTGAGCCTCGTCGGGGCCTCCTACTCGGGGGTCTCCGTCAACGACTGCATCGCCAGCGCCAAGGCGGCCGTGGGGGGGCTCTTGGGGACACCCCCCTGACCCCCCCGGGGCCCCTCACCCCTCCAGCAGCCCCCCCGTGGCTGTAGGACAAAGCGATTTTCTTTTTTAATTGACAAAAAAAAAACCCTCAACCCCCTTACAAAGGCCCAGGGGAGCGGCTCATAAATAGAATAAATACCCGCGTGCGCCCGATTCGGGGACCCCCAGAGACCCCCCCACCACCACCATCCCCCGGGGGGTCAGGCTCACCCCGGGGTGCCCCCCAACACCAGGCAGGGCTCCCAGTGCCCCCCACTTCCCCCCAGTCCATCCAGCGAGGCCACACTGGGGGTCCCAGTGCGGGAAGGGGAGGGTTAAGGGGGTCCCCGTGCCAGGCTCTGGTTGCCCCCCCGGGGGTCCTGGGTGGTCCCCAAGCCCTGGGTGCTGTTGGGGGCCACGGGGGGGGCCGTGGGCAGGCTGGGTGGGGGGGGGAGCCCCCCGTGCCAGCGCCAGGGGCAGGGGCAGGGCCCCCCGGGGGGGCTGGCGCAGCATCTCCTCCCGGAAGCGGCGGGAGCTGCCGGGGGGGGCTCCGTGGGGGCCGCGGGGGTCGGTGCCAATGTCCACGGTGAGGTTGGTGTAGAGGGGCTGGAGCCGCTTTTCCAGCAGGGAATAGGTCAGGGAGTTCATCCCATCCTGGGTCCAGGAGCGCTGGGTCCGCACCAGCAGGTCGAACCTGGGGGGGGGGGAACAGCAGGGGGGGTCAGGAATCATGGAATTATGGAATCATGGAATTATGGAATCATAAAATCGTGGAGTCACAGAATCACAGGATTATAGAATCATGGAATTATAGAGTCATGGAATCGTGGGATTATAGAATCATAAATTATGGAATCATGGAATTATGGGACCATGGAATCATAGAATCCTAAAATCATGGAATTGCATAATCATGGAATCACAGGATTATAGAATTATAGAGTCATGGAATCATGGGATTATAGAATCATAAATTATAGAATCATGGAATTATAGTCATGGAATCATGGAATTATAGAATCATCATGGAATCATAAAATCATAGAATCACAGAATCATGGAATCAAAATCATAGAATCACAAAATCATAGAATCATAGAATGATAAAATCATAGAATTACAGATTCATAGAATCATGGAATTATAGAATCAGAGAATCACAGAATCATAAAATCAAAGAGCCAAAGAATCATAGAATCACAGAATTATGGAATCACAGAATCAAGGACCTGTGGGGGTTCTCCTCGTTGCCTTTGTCCCCCTTGTGCTTCACCATCTTGTAGTGGCCGATGGAGATGGGGGGGCGGGAGATCTTCATCCCGGCCAGGCGCACGGGGTCATGGGAGGGGACACAAGGGACAGGGACACCTTCCTGGGGGACACGGGGTCATGGGGGGGGACACAGGGGACAGGGACACCCTCCTGGGGGACATGGGGTCATGGGGGGGGAACAGGGCATGGGGACATCCCCCTGGGGGGCACAGGGCATCTGGGGGGGAATAGGGCATGGGGACACACTCCTGGGGGGACAGGGACACCCCCCTGGGAGGGACACGGGGTCATGGGGGGGGGACAACAAGGAATGGGGACACTGTCCTGGGGAGGACACACAGGGGACAGGGACACCCCCCTGGGGGGACCCGGGGTCATGGGGGGCAAAAGGATACCCTCCCCGGGGAGGGGACAGTGTGGCACCCCAATCCCAGGGAGGGGACAGTGTGACACCCCAAATCCCAGAGAGGGGACAGCGGGACACCCCAAATCCCAGGGAGGGGACACAGCCCAAGGGAGGGGACAGTGTGACACCCCCCCAGCTCCAGGGAGGGGACACTGTGACACCCCCCAGCCCCAGGGAGGGGACAGC